ACCTGTCTTCCTCTCCAATCCTCCCTCTCGCCATCACCCGCTCTCTCCTCCTCTCTCCTGCCTCTCCTCCTCTCTCCAGCCTCTCCTCCTCTCTCCTGCCTCTCCTCCTCTCTCCTACCTCTCCTCCTCTCTCCTGCCTCTCCTCTCCCCAGCCTCTCCTCCTCTCTCCTGCCTCTCCTCCTCGCTGATCAACACGCGCGCATCATCGCTGACTAAACCACAACAAACGCATCAAAATCTCGCGCCGTTGCGGAAGATCTTCCCTGCAATGCAGGCGTTTTTCTACCCCTTTTTGGAGTGATTACTGAGGCTTATGCACTGAGAGTCCAGGATAATGTTCTCTCACATCCTGAGGCATAATGAGCCAGCGGTGTGGAGTCAGAGGTATTGGCAGTCCTTCACAGTTTGGACCAACACCATTACCATAATTAGCTTCAGGGCAGAGTGTGGTGATGGAACTAATAGTGTTGATGGTGCATGTGTTGATGCTGGAGGGTTGTGGTGGTGATGGTGCTGGCTGATGGTGATAACTGGGGATGGTGCAGGCTAATGGTGGTGACTGGGGATGGTGCTGGATGATGGTGATAACTGGACATGGAGCAGGATGATGGTGGTGACTGGAGATGGTGCTGGCTGATGGTGATAACTGGGGATGATGCAGGCTAATGGTGGTGACTGGGGATGGTGCTGGATGATGGTGATAACTGGACATGGAGCAGGCTGATGGTGGTGACTGGAGATGGTGCTGGCTGATGGTGATAACTGGGGATGATGCAGGCTAATGGTGGTGACTGGGGATGGTGCTGGATGATGGTGATAACTGGACATGGAGCAGGCTGATGGTGGTGACTGGAGATGGTGCTGGCTGATGGTGATAACTGGGGATGATGCAGGCTAATGGTGGTGACTGGGGATGGTGCTGGATGATGGTGATAACTGGACATGGTGGTGACTGGGGATGGTGCTGGCTGATGGTGATAATTGGACATGGTTCAGGCTGATGGTGATAAGTGAGGATTGTGCAGGCTGATGGTGATAACTGAGGATGATGCAACCTGATGGTGATAACTGAGGATGATGCAGGCTGATGGTGATAACTGGGGATGATGCAGGCTGATGGTGATAACTGGGGATGGTGCAGGTTGATGGTGATAACTGGGGATGTTGCCGGTAGATGGTGATAACTGGTACTGGTGCCAGCTGATGGTGATAACTGGGGATACTGCAGGCTGATGGTGATAACTGGTGATGGAACTGGCTGATGATGATAACTGGGGATGGTGTAGGCTGATAGTAATAACTCGTGATAGTGTAAGAAGAAGGTGATAACCGGGGATGCTGCCAACTGTTGGTGATAACTGTGTATGGTACAGACTGATGGTGATAACTGGGGATTGTACAGGCTGATGGTGATAACTGGTAATGGTGCAGGCTGAATGTGATAACTGGTGATGGTGTAGGCTGAAGGTAATAAATGGGGATGGTGCAGGCTGATGGTGACAACTAGGGATGGTGCCGGCTGATGGTGATAATCGGGGATGCTGCCAACTGATGGTGATAACTGTTGATGGTGCAGCCTGAGGGAGATAACTGGGGACGGTGCAGTCTGATGGTGATAACTGGTGATGGGACCGGCTGATGGTGATAACTGGGGACGGTGCAGGCTGATGGTGATAACTGGGGATGGAGCAGGCTGATGGTCATAACTGAGGACTGTGCAGGCTAATGCTGATAACTTTGGATGGTGCAGGCTGATGGTGATAACTGGGGACGGTGCAGGCCAATGGTGATAATTGAGGATGGTGCAGGCTGATGGTGATAACTGGGGATGGTGCAGGCTGATGGTGATAACTGGGGATGGTGCAGGCTGATGGTGATAACTGGGGATGGTGCAGGCTGATGGTGATAACTGGGGATGGTGCAGGCTGATGGTGATAACTGGGGATGGTGCAGGCTGATGGTGATAACTGGGGATGGTGCGTGCTGATGGAGATTACTGGGGATGGTGCCAGCTGATGGTGATAACTGGGGATGGTGCAAGCTAATAGGTATAACTGGGGATGGTGCCGGCTGATGGTGATAACTGAGGATAGTGCGGGCTGATGGTGATAACTGGGAATGGTACAGGCTGATGATGATAACTGGGGATGATGCCGGCTGATTGTGTTAACTGGGGATGGTGCAGGCCGATGGTGATACTGGGCATGGTGCCAGTTGATTATGATAACGGGATGGTGCCGGCTGATGGTGATAACCAGGGAAAATGCCAGATGATGGTGATAACTGGGGATAGTGCAGGCTGATGGTGATAACTGGGGATGATGCCGGCTGATGGTGTTAACTGGTGATGGTGCAGCCTGATGGTGATACCTTGGGATGGTGCAGGCTGAAGGTGACAACTGGGAACGGTGCAGCCTGATAGTGATAACTTTAGATAGTGGCGGCAGATGGTGACAGGATGATGGTGATAACTGGGGATGGTGCCAGCAGATGGTAATAACTGGGGATGGTGCTGGCTAATGGTAATACCTTAGGATGATGCAGGATGATGGTGATAATTGGGGATAGTGCAGGCTGATGATAATTGGGGATGGTGCCAGTTGTTGATAACTGGGGATGGTGCTGACTGATTGTGATAACTGTCGATGGTGCAGGCTGATAGGAATAACTGTGGATGGCGGCGGCTGATGGTGATGACTAGACATGGTTCAAGCTGATGGTCATAAGTGAGGATTGTGCTGGCTGATGGTGGTGACTGGAGATGGTGCAGGCTGATGGTGATAATTGGACATGATGGTGACTGGGGATGGTGCTGGCTGATGGTGATAACTGGACATGGTGCAGGCTGATAGTAATAACTTCGGATGGCGCCAGCTGATGGTGATGATTGAAGATGGTGCAGGCTAATGGTGATAACTGGGGATGGTGCCAGCTGATGGTGATAACTTGGGACGGTGCAGGCTGAAGGTGAAAACTGGGAATGGTGCAGCGTGATAGTGATAACTTTGGATAGTGGCGGCAGATGGTGAGAGGCTGATGGTGAAAACTGCGGATGGTGCCAGCAGATGGTGATAACTGTTGATGGTACCTTCTGATGGTGATAACCTAAGATGGTGCCAGTTGAAAATGATAACTGGGGATGGTGCCGGCTGATGGTGATAATTGGAGATGGTGCCTGCTGATGGTGATAACTGGTGATGGTACAAGTTGATAGTGATAACTGGTGTTGGTGCATGCTGATGGTGATAATTGGGGATGGTGCTGGCTGATGATGATAACTGTAGATGGTGCCGGCAGATAGTGATTACTGGGGATGGTGCCAACTGATAGTGATAACTGGGGGATTGTGGAGGCTGATGGTGATATTTGGGGATGGTGCAGGCTGATGATGATAACTGTAGATGGTGCCGGCAGATAGTGATTACTGGGGATGGTGCCAACTGATAGTGATAACTGGGGGATTGTGGAGGCTGATGGTGATATTTGGGGATGGTGCAGGCTGATAGTGATAACCGTTGAAGGTGCAGGCTGATGGTGATAACTGTGATGGTGCAGCCCGATTGTGATAACTTGGGATGGTGATAACTGGGGATGGTGACAGCAGATGATGATAATTGGGAATGGAGCCAGCTGATGGTGATAACTGTGGATGGTGCCGGGTGATAGTGATAACTGGGGATGGTGCAAGCTGATGGTGATAACTGGGAATGGTGCCAGCTGATGGTGATAACTGAAGATGGTGCCAGCTGATTGTGATAACTGAGGATGGTGCAGGCTGATGGTGATAACTGGGGACGGTGCCAGTTGTGGTTGATAACTGGGGATTGTGCAGGCTGATGGTGAAAACTGTGGATTGTGCCAGTAGTTGTTGATAACTGGGGATGGTGCCAGTTGATGGTGATGAATGTTTATGGTGCAGGCTGATAGTGATAAATTTGGATGGTGCCAGCTGATGGTGATAGCTGGGGATGCTGCAGATTGATGTGTAATAATTGGATATGGTGCTGGCTGATGGTGATAACTGGTGATGGTGCTGGCTGATAGTGATAACTGGTGATGGTGCAGGCTGATGGTGATAACTGCAGATGTTGACGGCTGTTGATGATAACTGTAGATGTTGCTGGCTGATAGTGATAACTGGGGATTATGCAAACTGATAGTGATAACTAGAGATTATGCAGGCTGATGGTGATAACTGGGGATGGTGCAGACTGATGGCGATAACTGGTGAAGGTGTAGGCTAATGGTGATAACTGGTGATGGTGCAGCCTGATGGTGATAACATTGGATGGTGCCGGCAGATAGTGATAACTGGGGATGGTGCCAACTGATGGTGATAACTGGGGATTGTGGAAGCTGATGGTGATAAGTGAAAATGAGTAGTAGGGAGTAAGACGCACAGGGGATATTTTGTTTCGGAGGAAATATCCCACATATGGCTTCGGGTTTTTTCAGGTCAGAAATATCCCGTTTAAGACCCAGGGTTTTCAGGTCAAATATCCCGTTTAAGACCCAGGGTTTTCAGGTCAAATATCCCGTTTAAGACCCAGGGTTTTCAGGTCAAATATCCCGTTTAAGACCCAGGGTTTTCAGGTCAAATATCCCGTTTAAGACCCAGGGTTTTCAGGTCAGAAATATCCCATTTAAGACCCAGGGTTTTCAGGTCAAATATCCCGTTTAAGACCCAGGGTTTTCAGGTCAGAAATATCCCATTTAAGACCCAGGGTTTTCAGGTCAGAAATATCCCGTTTAAGACCCAGGGTTTTCAGGTCAGAAATATCCTCCATATGAGCCAGGGTTTTTCAGGTAAATTTGGGCAGTCACAGATTTGGAAGTAAGGATTTCTTATGAGAAAAATAATTTCCGAGATTTTAGAAGTTTGTTAAAAGTTCTTATGATGAAAATAATATCATAGAAGTTTGTTAAAGTTCTTATGGGAGAAATTCAAATTTTCAAAGTTCGTACCAAAATAAACAGATATTTAAGCCTTATACATTTAAGTAGGATTCTTACATAGAAACTAGTATATGGTTATATAACTGAATTATTACCCTGCCATCCCCCTTCCCTGCCTTCCCCTCCCCCTGCATCTCCCGCTCATACCTCACACCTCCTCCCTCCCCCCTTACCTCACAATCTCTCGCGTCACCTGTGTTTACCTTACGCCGCCAGCCAGCCAGCCAGACTCTATCTTCAGGTCACCTCCATAATCTTATCTTCTCCGTAATATCTGGACCATCCCCCCACCCTCTCTCTCTCTCTCTCCCTCTCTCTCTCTCTAGCTGCTACAGTACACCTCTCTCCTTTCATACTTTTCTTTCTTTGTAAGTCCTTACAGCTATTTTCTGACATCGTATGTTTGCTCCTTTTCATTAAACGAGTCAGTTTTTACACAAATCAAAAGAGACATCTCAATGTATCCTTTAACACTGAAGCTGCCTCCGAGACTAATGCCTGAAATAATCAGAGTCAAGTTTTACCCAGAAAATTAACAGAGTCGAATTAACAACAGAAATTCGTCAGAGTTCAGTTTAAGCTCAAATTTCACCAGAGTCCAGTTATAGACAGAAATATTCAGAGTCAAGTTTTTCCCTGAAAATTAACTCCACTTTGTGAGCAAAATTCGTCAGAGTCCAGTTTTTACCCAAAAATGATCAGAGTCCAACTATCAACAGAAATTCGTCAGAGTCCAGTTTTTACCCAAACATTAACAGAGTCCACTTTGTGAGCAAAATTCGTCAGAGTCCATTTTATACCCAAAAATAATCAGAGTCCAGTTAACGACAGAAATTCGTCAGAGTCCAGTTTGTGGCCAAAAATATTCAGAGTCCTGTAATCTACAAAATTTACAGAGTCCATTTTCTACCCAATTTTTATCAGAGTCCAGTTTATACCCAAAATTTGCCAGAGTCCACTTTGTGCCAAATATTCAGAGTCCAGTTTATGATCGAAATTAATCAGAGACCAATTGAAGACCCAAATTTGCCAGAGACCACATTTTCGCTACTAGCAGTCCAATCCCCTGAAATTTTAAACAGTCATATTCCAGTCGTAGTAAATAAGATGAAGTCAGTTACTGAGCTCCAGCTCTCATCCCCCACCCTACTTCCCCCTCAAGTCTTTGTTAATATCCTATCAATTCCCCTGAAATTTTTACCCTCTGTATTTCAGACACCGTAAATAAGATCAAAACAGTTAACGAGCTCCAGCTCTCGTCCCCACCTTAGTTCTCTCTCGTATCTTTGTAAATAACCCATCAATTTCCCTGAAATTTTTACCCTCTGTATTTCAGACATAGTAAATATGATGTAAACAATTACAAAACTCCAGTTCTTTTCCTCTGTCCAAGTTCACTCATGTAAATTCATTACTATCAGTCCAAATCCCCTTGAAATTTAAGCACTTAACTACATTTTCAGATCCCCTGCAAATAAATTAAACTGGAATTACCGAGTTCCAACTCATGTTCTTCACTTAGTTCAATGTTCATCAAATTATTTCAGATCAAGCCTCTCTCCAGTCTATCAAAGTAAACATCATTTCCTTTAACACTGTCATATAACACCTTACCTTCAATACCTTTTGTTTACCCAAGTAAGCAATAATCACACGGTCAAAATCTCACCGTACACTTTCCCTCCCTTATCTTCTCATCCCCGGTCGGCCGGTCGGCCGAGCGGACAGCACGCTGGACTTGTGATCCTGTGGTCTTGGGTTCGATCCCAGGCGCCGGCTAGAAACAACGTTCAGAGTTTCTTTCACCCTATGCCCCTGTTACCTAGCAGTAAAATAGGTACCTGGGTGTGAGTCAGCTGTCACGGGCTGCTTCCTGGGGGTGGAGGTCTGGTCGAGGACCGGGCCGCGGGGACACTAAAAAAAAAAAAAAGCCCCGAAATCATCTCAAGATAACCTCAAGATAACCTCCCCAACTTATCCAATCTTCAATAATCCTACTGTATTTTCATATTTTGTCTATATTCACTGTGTTCTTCGTATTCTCATCCATGTTTTCCGTGTTCACTTCATGTTCAGCAAGTATTCGCAGCATGCTCAGTTCAAATTTTTTTTCACCTGTTTTTCTCAATTTTTCTGTTTTCTACCATTTTCCCCGTATGTTCACTATGTTTTTGTCATGTTTTTCATGAACATCATATGTTCTCTGTACAACTTTTATACTCAATATTCATGTTCTCAATGTTCTTAGCT